TAAAAATAAAAGAATATTATTTAAAAAAAACTTTTTTTTGGAAAGTTGGTGGGCTCCCCGCCCCCCTTTTTGGTTTGTTTTGTTTTTTTTTTGAGACCCCCCCCCCCCCCCCCCCCCCCTCAAAATAAATCGTTTACTGATTTTCACTTCGTCATCTTGCGAAAACTCAATCTCCGACCTAATACATTGTATAGAGCTGAACACTTTTGGACATACTGAGGATAGGTCATCCTTGCACCACTAAAAATTTCAGTTCGATTCATTGTACTTTGGCTAGAGACATAGCAATTTTACTACACATGTCTTTTTACGTCAGATGCCTTCCGTATCTCCGGTGCCACTCTACCACATTACAATATAAATTCAAGTATTATTTTTGTTTGAAAGCTCCTCTCGTGGCCCTTTTTTTAAAAATAAGCCTTTTTATTATCATATAAGAAAACATCTCTATGGAAGCAGCGCCATTTTTTAGGGTTTTTTTGAGTCATTGAACTTGTCATCCCTTTTCTTCGCTTAAAAAGTATGAATTAAAAAAAAGGTCATGAGGTGAGCTAGCCCTAGAGACAAGCTTTCAAACAAAAAAAAAATTATATATAAATAATGGGAGTCCACAGAGAATTTTTGGAGATGAGATGAGTTATTTTTTTACTCTTGTTTGGTTCATATCTCTGTCAAACGTCAGGATATCGAGCTGAAAATTTTACCACAGCCTCCTCACTTTAGCCCATTTGAACGTTCTTAGACTGAGATCAATTTTTGAGGGGGGTGGCCTTAATAAAAAATATCAAGTAAAACAAAGATGAAATAAGACAAAAAGACGGATTTGTCTCGTGTCAAATACACATTGTTTTCGCAGCGTCAAAATTTGATTGCTCAGAATTTTGTTGATTTTTTAACACAGAAAATACAACTGTAAGCTTAGTTGTCCTATGGAAATTGTACAGCTTTTTATGCTACATCTTCTGACATATCTTATTTTCTTAATAAATGTATTTAGGGATCAAAATATGAAATGTAAAGTTCTCCCATTTATTATTGATTATCTGTTAGCAAGTTGGATGCACCTAGCATAAAAGAAATGATAGATTACAGCAAAGCACAAGACTTAGAAGTCTGAAACTTTGCATATAATCTTAAATATGTCTAAGTATTATAACAAAATACTTGAATTCAAACTGCGACTTTTCTAAGAGTCGGACGAAAAAACTTTTCTAGCGCCCCACGTATCATCCATTTCATTATAGTTACACTCGTTTTTCATAGTTTATTTTGAGAAATTACGTTGTTTTTAGGCGACAATATATTATTCTAGGTCAAAAAGAAGATAACACAACAAAACAGGATATATGCAGAAATGTTTATATACAAAAAAAAAGTCAATCAGCAACAAATCATGACTAGTAAAAATGATCAATTCGTTTTAATACGTTTAATATCATTAGTCATTTGTTCACATGTCTTTCTCTTCTTCTTCTTCTTCTTACCGAGCCATATTGATAAAGTGTAAAGATCTGTACTATATGTTGCATCTCTTCTTGTCGAGAGCCATTTAATAATTTTCTTTGGCCAATGTTGTTTTCGACTTATGAATCGAAATGTCACGCTTAATAAATGATCAAGTCGATTGAGTATGATTTTCATATCATCCATAATTGAGATATCAATTTCCAAATATTTGATATGATTTGGAATTAAAGAACAGAAATTTTTCATATTACTAACACAAGTTTTATCAAGCCATTTATCTTTGAAAACGAGTGAACGAACATTAAATGCTTGTTGAAGTAGATTAACGAAATGTATTGGCGTATTCGGATAAAAATCTTCAACTAATCCATCAACTAATGTGAGTTTTTCAAGATGTGATAGATCGATAAATGACGAAACACGTTGAACGAAATCAACTGGCCATCGATTATCAGTTCGAATATTGAGATTCGATGCTTTTCGAAATCGATGTGTTTGTAGTTGAACCTATTTATTAAAAGTAAATTTTGCTATAACACTAACGAGTATTGTTCCCGGAGGGGATCACGACTTTTTGCTTATAAATACAGTAACAATGTAATATCTCGGCAGTCATAAGGTAGCGCCACGAACTTTTTTTGGAGTACTTATAGATCATTAGGGTCTACATGATGCACATACGCTCGACTCAAAAGCAATGTGACAGTTGGGAATGTTCTCTCGTAAGTTAGATCTGTTACACCATCCAAGCAGTTCTTTTGAAAAAAAAAACATACGATTTCCTCAAGATAAGCGTTTTATATTTTCAATGAAATATCGATTATCTACTACAATAGCTTTCATGAAATTTTAGTGTTTCTTACTTCGTTTGTTGTTGTCGTGGCCATCATTATATCTGTGTTTACATACACAGTATGCACATAATCCATTACTGATATATCATTATTAATATCCATTGAAGTTGAAGAAGTAGTTTTGATCGATTGAGAATAGTAATGAAAGTAATGATTACGAATAGGTATTGAATAGAGATGAATATCATAATTTGGTTTTGTAATATTATTATTATTATCATCGTCGCGAATAAATTGATCACAAGTAACAAACCAATTTTTGATTTTAATCCAGAATGGTGTTCGAAATGGAGCAATAAGTGTGTCATTATTAATAGAACTATCATCATCATATATATTCATGTAAAAGGAAAATTCAAATTGATTCAACAAAGGTAAATTTGTTTGTATCAGTTGTTCCCATGGAAAATCAATTTCATTTATGCTACCAGCCAATCGAAGATGTGTCAATGATGATGTGTTAGAAAGAAATGATTTGATCTTGCACATATTGAAGTTAAAGTCTTCCATTATGAGTGAGGTTAATTGATACATTGGTACAGGATCAAAAGGTATTTCAAAACCAATAGGTTCATAATCGATCATGTCACAATATTTAATGAATAATGTTCGTAAAGAAGAAAAATGACGAAAAATAATCGGAAAATGTGATAAATTACAATGATATAAAGTCAGATGTTGTATTGTTGATGAAATTGGCCATTTTATTTGATCACTACCATCTCTTTTCAAACTCACGGTTAAATTCTGAAGACCAGGTCGTTCTATCATTCTAGAGAGAAGAGTATCGATTGTATCCGAACGATGAGAATTATCTTTCTCTTGAATTGATAGTAAGACAAGTGGAAAATTGATACTATGTTCTAATATAAAATTCAATTGTTCATTTTCGATACAAAGAAGTATTAATGAACAAAGTTGTGTAAATCGTTCAATAGAAAATAATGAGAAAAATAATGAAATTTGACCTGGTGTAGTTGATTGATCAGAAAGTGTAAGTGAAATAATATTTTCAGGTTGAATAAATTGACAAACTCGAATAAAATCAGCTTTCGAGATATTATCAAAATTCAGTTGATATCGAGCATTATGAAAATAACCATTTATTATAGTATTCAATTGTTTACATACATTATAAAGTGAAAGAATAATAGTTTGTACATTGAGTTTATCAAATATATGATAAATAACTTCAATAGGTAATGTGTTCAAAGACAGAATAAATCTTGTCGACATCTATAATCAGAAAAAAAAATATTTTTAAAAGTGATTTGAAGAAAAGAGAAAGTGAATGGACATTAAATAATCTTGAGAAAGTCGAGTGAAGAGACTCAATTGATCACAAACTGGAGGACTATCATTTCCACTAGTGATGTTTATTGGACATTTTATATCGATAGAATAATAACTAATTTACTGCATATATAACACAAGCTTATATAGAAAAGAGAGATGAGCAACACAGGAGAGAACAATAGTGAGAGATAAGAAAGATAACACAAGGAGAGCACTATCATTATGGACACACTCTCTCTTCACTCAACTTCTGAGCTTTTGTTCGTAACATAGAAAAGAAACATTTTATTTCTCAGTGTTTCATTCCAATAAGAAGCAAAAAACAAACACATTGAACTTTCTTATAAACGAGCAAAATAAGAGCTAAATTAATAACTTAATAAATTCTTAAGCATTCAAAGCTCTACCCAACCCATTATATCGAAAATAAATCTTTTCTTTCCTTTGATAATGATTTGTTTTAGTCATTAGTATTAGGCAGTTAGATAAGATACAATTGACAGCGATTGATATAACACAGATCACTGAACCGTTATGATTTATGATAAAAATGCAATCAGGTTCATTATCATTAACATTAGCTAAATATAACAGAAACAGAAAAGAATACAATTGAGATAAACAATGATAAAACGCAATGTCCAGACTGTAAATTCGCATATTTTCACACATTGATTAGAACAATCTATATATCATTACCATCAATGATTGTCTACTTATAACCTTTTGATATTCATGAATGATAAGAATTTTCTTCGTAGATTGCACCAAATATAATTCTTAATGTTCTTTTACATATTTTTCAGTTGACAACGGGAAAAAGAGACTTGGAAGTAGTGTGAAAGTTAAAACTTCTTATGCATCTTTAATTTTCGAAATAGATAAAATTCTACAGAATCAGTAAAAAGAAATCTTTTCGAATATTTAATTAAAAACAAGGATAATATTCATCTTTTTCTTGTGTTTCTCTTCAGATAACTAATACATTTTCTATGCATAGTATTATAATGAGTTTTTTGTCGTTTCACTTCGATACAATCGTGGAAAAAAGTTGAGGTCGTACTTATTCCAATAATAATGATTGCTTAGATATATAATAATAAAAAAGAAAAAGAACATGATAGAAATAATAGCAATTTTTGTTAACAAAATGAAACCTTTGTCTTTACAGATATCGTGTGAGTGGAGGTGAGAAGAGGAATAGAATGTGTAAAGACAAAATAGATGTGATGCCTATAATACTATGTAGAAAAGTTGCTAATTATAACTTACTCAAAGGTATATGATCTGCTGTGATCGAATTCGTGTTGCAATGACG